TTGCTATGTTGCCCAGGCTAGTCTAGAACTCCTAGGCTCAAGTGATCCTCACACCTCGGCCTCCCAAAGTGCTGGGATTACAGGCATGAGCTACTGTGCCCAGTCTCATTTATATTAGCCAAGAATGCTGGTTGCTGTCTCCAAACCCAGCATGTATATAAAAGTGGTGGCCCAAATAATGAAGCCAATTGCTTATCAAAGTAAACTGTAGATGTAGGGGTAGCAGAGACAATTCTTGCCATCTGGATTCTTCTGTACTGTCTACAGAGGTGCTCCAATCATGTGACAAGATTATCTGGGACTACAGGTGCATGATCCTATGCACTGCTAATTAAAAAAAATTTTTTTGGCCGGGCATGGTGGCTCATGCCTGTAATCCCAGCACTTTGGGAGGCTGAAAACAGCATGCTGCTGTTCTCATAGAAACACCAGAGGAATTGGCAGATAACGGAACTATAATTACAGAGAAAGCTGAAAGACACTTCAGTGGCTTGATTTATTTATTCTATTTCATTTTGTGCTTGTGAATATAGGTGAATGCTAGAGATATATATATTTTTTTTCTTTATGAGATGGAGTCTTGTTCTGTTGCCCAGGCTGGAGTGCAGTGGCGTGATCCTGGCTCACTGCAACTTCTGCCTCCTGGGTTCAGGCGATTCTCTTGCCTCAGCCTCTTGAGTAGTTGGGATTACAGGTGCCCACCACCACACATGGTTAATTTTAGTATTTTTAGTAGAGATGAGGTTTCACCAAGTTAGTCAGGCTAGTCTAGAGCTCCTGACCTCAAGTGATCCACCTGCCTCAGCCTCCCAGTCTGGGAGTAAATATTAAGTGAATGGGATGACAGTCGTGAGCCATCCCACATGGCCAAAGGCTAGAGGTATATTTAAAAGATACCATGCTGAGAACAGATTTTGGGTAATGGGAGATTATTTTTTTCCTTCCACATAGCCTTTATTAAGATGGGAAGACTCAGAAGATAGGGGCAGGGAAAAAAAGCTGCTGGTTCTTCACATTACAGCACAGATCACAAATTAATTTCATTTATAAGAGGCAGCAACAAAAAAGAAATCAATATCCAGTCTAATGAGGAACTGAACTAGAAAATGCAACACTAGATACTGCTGGAAACCTGATCTTGTGCAGATAAACTTTACTTTAAATGATGCTCTTCTCATAACAAATCAAGTTAGTTCCCTCTGCAGACCCTAGGAAATCCACTTACAAAACAACAAAATACCATCAGATTGGTTATTAGAAAAATTGGGTTCTGAATCTGCCCTGATAGAAAATTGTAGGGCAGTAGTTTAATTTCTTTAGTATTCGCCATACCAGAGGTTGGTAAGTTATGGCTGGGCACCTGTTTTGAAAGCAAAGTTTTACTGGAACATGTTCACACCCATTTGTTTATGGCAGAGTTGAGTACTTGTGACAGACCATCCTGGTCCATCAGCCTAAAATATTCACTACATGAACCTTTAAGGAAAAGTTTATCACCCAACACAAGTAGGAGCAATGATAATTGGTAAACTTCCCCTGTAAGAAATTAAACTTGGTAAGTATTGAGTATTTGACAACTCTATGCTCAGCAAAATCTGTGGCACTAGGTGACTTCACTAGTAGAGATTACATGGGAACAGATATGGACTGAGCTGGCCAGTGTGTTACCACAGTATCAGACAGGTACAGGGAGAATCTGGGTTTCAGAGTGCTATCACAGGTGCACTGTCTATCTGATTAAATGCACATTTACTTCGCTTGTTTGCTCAGTTTTCCTATGCAAAATGAGGGTAGAAACACAAATCATAAGTCCCAAGAAACCCCATATACACATTAGTAACTCACCGGGTCATTCTCATTGGTGCGGGAAATAGCTCTGGGACTCCCAACTGGAACCTGGTTATCTAGGTGAGCAGCAATGCTTTGGTGTGCCTGGGTTCCCACGTGTAAAAAACGCCCGGGGTCCAACTGTAAGAGAAACCATTTCAATGTTTTGGGTTATCAAACTTTTTATGGTTGCTGTAGCACTGCAAATGTGAGCCATGTCTGCAACAGGGATGTCACTAATGTACATTTTCCTTCTATGTAAAAAGGATCCTTGTTATTATTTATTCACTAAATCCAATGACATTATTCATATTCTGTATCTGTTCCAGCCTGTGTATTACCTTATCAGGGATCTGTCCCATATGGAAACAAATAATTCTGTTAGAGATTATTCAGGAGTAAAAATAGCATAGCCACTAACAAACCTGAAGCAGGAAAGCTCTTTAAATGCGCTTGCACAGTGATGAATGGTTGCCCATACTGTGTAATTCTCAGCTGTCAGTCACCTCAGTCATGAAGGGATCAGTGCAATGCTCCTCACTATGTGATAGCTATAATTACACACCCTGTAACAATTTTCCTGCTACTTGTGCCCTGGAATAAAGAATCCTTCATTAGAGACATGTAATAAGGGAGTATGTCAAATACGCAGCTAAGTGAAAGTAAACTGCTCTATATGCAACTCAGTGGACTGTACACTGAAACCTCTGAACCAACAGGGAGGGGAAGGGGGCATGTCAGGAGACAAATCTGATAAAATGGTAAGTGAAGAACTCTAAAACTGAGCTTAAGGATAACAAGCCTTATGTAGAAAGTGAAAAGATGTGTTATGAGGAAAAGGTTAGGGAATGCAGCCAGGAGAAGCAAGAGGACAGAAATATAAGGGATAGTGTAATAAGGGAATTGCTTAATAAATAGGTTATAATATGAAAGCTACCTGTATTTTATACTCTTACCAAGCAGCTTTTCTCTCTTTTTAAGATTGGGTCTTGCTGTGTCACCCAGATTGGAGTGCAGTGGCACGATCACGGCACACTGCAGCCTCAAACTCCAAGGCCCAAGTTTGTTTCCTCGGCATAGCAATCTGAGTAATACACCTTACATGCTACTCAATTTTATCTACTGGAGAGAAAGCACCATGTCTCTTTACAAAGCAGAGTGGAAAACAAACTATTCAAGGGCCACAAGGTGGTGCTATTTATACAGTAATGTGATGACATTTTTGTTATACATTTTTTTTTTTTTTAAGATAGGGTGAGGTCTTACTATATTGCCTAGGCCAGTCTCAACTTCCTGGGCCCACGTGATCCTCCTGCCTCAGCCTCCCAAGTAGCTG